TTTATATATTTTTATGTTACACAGGTGATTATTAGTTCTCAATTTATTATCTAGAGTTTGGACCATTTATGGTATCACATTTATTAGACATTTTTATGGCGCGATTATTTTAGTTATGGGTACCATTAATAAACCAGCGGATTTTTATTGACTTTTTTACTCATAGATTATTGTTTTATCATTTGCTAAAGATGACTAGAGTGTGAGTTATGGTTCCTCTCTTACCGAGTTGCTAACTTTTACTCCTCCTACTAAATATTCTTTACATTAATTTATGTTTTTTTTACCTAAATGACATCATCTTCAATCTGTTTTTATTTTCACATCTCCCAGGTCTACGTAACTGGACGGCTCCGTTGGTCACTTTTTGCGATCATTGTGTTGCATAAACAAAAAAGTTTATTCTTTATGGCTCGTGAGCCCCAACTTTTTCCAATGCACACCACAACGACGAAACGGAAATTAGGTTATCCCGCTGGATGTGGTTACGGCGATCAGTAACCTAATGACAACGCTGACACTCACGCACACATTCAGTCGGAAGCTCCACAATGCATGTCGAATCAGCGCTCGCTTACTATGTGCTCGGATCTAAAATCTCACTTCATAGCACATCATTCCACACCAGCACGGGGCAGTAGCTCTATTGGCAAAGAGTGATGGCTTGTGGCCTACGGTGACTAATGTGTGCATTCGATCAATTGAAATCCATTCTGTAAATCTTACGTCTGGCTCTGATGTGCTAGCCCATAAGCGCAAGAAGTGATTGTGTTTAGCTTTCTATTCACCCGATTTGAAAGTGAACGAAAACATAACAAGACCATACTAGACGACCAAACGGTCCTTACTAATGCACCACACCATCACACCTGTAGACACCAACAGTCTCTAAAATCAGTATATCAAATATTTGTTCTTTATTACATATGATCTACACACAGAATGACTAGAGTGTTAGTTATTTCTCCCCTTGCCACCCCAGCATTTAACTTCGTTCTTTATCTTCACAAAAGTCTTACCACTCATTTTAAATTTTCTTATGATTTTTTTTTTTATTCAACGACACTATCTACTATCTGTTTTTATTATCACATCTCCCAGGTCTACGTAACTAGACGGCTCCGTTGTTCACTTTTTGCGATCATTGTGTTGCATAAACAAAGAATTTTCTTAATATATAAAATAAATCATATTATAATTCTCCAAATTGAATATATAATATTCAAATTTAAATTTCGAAATACTTATAAAAGTCAAAGCATGATAAAATTATGTTTGAAGAAGAAATTTAAGCAAAAGCTTAAAATTCTTCCTTAAACTCAATTATTCAAAAATTATTCAAAATAGTTTGTGTTATATATTAGAGATTCATTATCCTACATGGGCGACATGTTTATATTAATAAAAATTCCATGTGCAATCTTTCAAAACTTAAATGAGTAAAACTTTTAAAACTTTGAAATAAGTAAAACTAGTAGTATGTTTTCAATTGTCGCGTTTCACAATTTCGTTTCGCGGTCCCTATCTTTATAATAAACTGATATCCAAAAATGGCATTATTACAAAATTAGATAACATAAATTGTTTGAAAATCTTACTAAAAAAGTTTGTTTTAAATATCAGCAATTATTTAAACTTTCACTAAACTAAAACTGAAAGTAAAACCAAAATTATAATTGAAAACAAAATCCAAAAAACTTCAATAATATATATTAATATAAAAAATCAATATAAGTCAATAATAATTATATTTATGCTTAATAATATATTTATGTGTATTATGTGTACTACAAACAGTATTTACCAATTTTTTATTTCTACATTTTATTATATGTGAACCTAATATAAAATGAAGTATTTTGTGAAACTTGATACATTGTAAAACGAAAATACAAAAAATATTACAAATACAAGCGGTTTCTTGATGACAAGACCATCTGGTCTTCTGCAAGTTTTCCGCGTTCTTTTAATATTAATGATACCCTACAATCATATTTTTTGTATTCTATAAAATTGTGATATATTTTTAGTATTATATATTTTAAAAACATTATAACTTTGTACCAATCATGTAGAATCACAACGTTATAAAGATATAAGAACAAAAAAAAAAAAAAAATTAAAACTAATTATCTACAAATTTTAATTGATAATAAAATTACATCTTTAATGATCATCTTAAGGAATTCCTAGCTGCATGACTCCAGAAAAATGAATCCAGAAACATAGTCAGACTTCTGATTTATACTAATTTTTATTTTAAAGGTATTTATTATTGTATAAACATTAGATTCTTAACGGTACAAAACAGATTGACATATGGACTCACATTACGCCACACAAAAACGTTACTTTTTTTAAAAAACTATGCATCATTCCGTCTTAAAACTAATTGAACCTAATTATCTGGTAATTTTTCTTTAAGATAAAGCATTTTCTATGTGTTAGATTCCGTTTTTTATATCTTTAAGTGTAAGTTTTTTTGATAAAAATATACTTAAGAATTAGCCTAGTAAGCTGATAATAAAATTTAGAGAGAACCACCTAAAACATACAGAAAGAAAAAAAATTCTACTTAAAACCTTTTTTCTAAAAAAACTGATAAAAGTTGATTAGACCAACAATACCCCTTAGATCCACTTTACCCCACCCTATCCTACAATGAAGTATTTCAGTTAGTGAAATGCTGTGTTTTACTCACTTAAAATAAAAAACGCTTTATCAAAATTTAATGAAAACTACAATCTGCGTAAAGAAACATAAACACAACACGAACAAATATATGTGATACTTGCATCTCTAGAGAAAGAATTTGAACCCCAATGAAATTATTGTTTCACAAGAGATTTTAGACTTTTAGAAGCAGCGAGAGTATAATCAAAGTTCCTTATGTAATTCCAATAAAAATTAAAAAGGAGTTCAAACATCTGGAAGATAGCCAGCTAGCAAACATACGTTGTTAAAACGTTAAAACAATGTTGCAAGTTACGTTGGCAGAACATTTGTCTCCAACGTTGTTTTTGCATCATTTTGATTACAAACGTCGCCAACAGCGAAAATCCAACATTGGCACAATGTTATATTTTAAGTTAGGGAAATGTATTATTTTATGATTTTTTTTAATTATTATTTTACGACCATCTTGTATTGACAATTAAACCTGATTATTTTTTTTACAAAACTTAGCGTCTCTCCCTTAATGTGTCATTTTGTAGAATACTATAACGCTTTTTTTCAATTTCAATTTCAATTTCAAAAGCGGTTTCTTGATGACAAGACCAAAATGGTCTTCTGCAAGTTTCCCGCGTCTTTTAACAGTGTTACTTTTTTATATATATTATTATTTGTATTAAAAAAAGTTTTCTTATTATATGTACGGTATTTTTTTTATACAATGTAAACGATGTAAATTTCGAAAACAATGTAAATTTCGAGCCTTCAAATCCACATATTCGAATTTTTGAATATGTGGATAGACCATAGGTATCACATAATCTTCTTGGCAATTTTAGACACTATACCTACAATACTTATATATTCTGCAAAGTTGTGCGCAACTCTTTGCCGTTTAAAATAACTCCCATTTAAAGTTGAAAATAAAAACTAAATGTTTTTTTTACATTTGAACAATATTTTTTTTTTACGTCTTATATTAACTAAAAAAGTTATGTGCAATATAGCTTCTTACTTTGCTAAAAAAAATAAATTCAAAGATGGCAAAAACCGAATTTCTAATTATTTTTTTTATTGTTATCATTATTATTTCTATTGTTATTATTTACATCGTTATTATAGTTATTTACTTTTTATAATTACTATTATCATTCTATTTAAGTTCATTTTAAAAATTGCAACTGTTTTTTTTTAATAATTCTTTATACTAATATAATTATTATTAATAAATATGATGTTTTAAATTAGATGTTTAAATTAGTAATTATGAGTAACTTGATGTAACTTTTAAGAAATATTAGGTTTGATTTTGATTTGTTTTGATTTATACTTATATATATATGTAAACAGTTTTATACAAATAAAAATTATTTAATGTTCCCGGATGTTGCTACATGTCTGCAATTACTTTTTTATAGTTTTTGTTTAAAAAATTAACAAACAAAAAAAATTTATTGTTTTTATATTTAAGCTAAAAAATCCATGAAAAAGCTTGCGAAGTAATTAAACATTGTCATACTTTTTATAAAGTAAGGTTTCGTAAAGCAAGGTTTTAACAAAGTCATATTTTAGGATTTCAATTTTTTTAACTATTTTTTTCTTTAAATTTAATTATTTATGAATGATATTTTGTTATTTGAATATATATATTAGTTATCATCTTTGAATAAAATTAATATAAAGTTATATTGTTTAATATTTTATGTCTTAGTGAAAACTTAAGAGAAAAAAATAAAAATTTAAAAAGTTTCACAAGCAAAGATTTATTCTTAAAAGATCTACAAAAGGAAAGTTTTATATTTAAAAAAATATCATTAACTTAAAAAAAAATCAGGAAAGAAATTTGGACCAAATTAGTTATAAGCAGTAACAGTATGTTAAACTTTTTTCAATTCCAATTATGGAATAAATGTTGATAGGATTTTATGATCAAATTATTATCATTAATCATTAACACTTGTTCTTCATTAACACACGATTTTATTGACATTAGTTTGTCATACACTCTACTTAACATAAGATTAGTTTTAATAATACGTCTATTTTTCTTTGGTTTTAAGTGACATGCTAAAATGCTTAGTAGGATAAAAGAAAACTGAAAAGTTTATTAAAAAAAGTAGAAAAAATACTTTAAATTAAATAAAATATTTTTTTTAAAAGCTATTAGTTTTTATGTTTAATTAATTTATATACATATATATATATATATATATATATATATATATATATATATATATATACGTACAAAATTTTCTTAAATCTTTTTTTTATTTATTTTTTTATGTTTATTTGTTTATTATTATTTTTAATGTTGGATTTTTTTAAAGAAAATTTCGAAATGCCGAGCGAAGATTTTACACCCGATGAAGTTGTGCAGTTATGTTGTGAAATTTCGATAGCAGATAATATTTTATACCGAGTTGATAAACGAAAAAGAAGCTTATTTAAACGATCTAGTTCAATCGAAAAACCAAATCAACCTGTTCGAAAAACTTCTCATATTGCGCAAAACTTAAGTTTAGTGAACGGTATTCCTTGTATGAGTAGTTCGCCAGGATCTACAGGTGCTTTGGAAAAATATTCTCAAGAACCGCCAGCTTCGAAACCAACAAACGGACAAAAAACAGATGTTGAAGGGCTGGATGGTCGAAATGTTGTGTCTTTGGCTATATTATGCGATGAAAATGGTACTCCCTTTAGAACTTACACCGAAAATCAAAATATTCCATTGGAAGAATTCAACTCAACCAATGAAATAATCGTAACGAGAGTTCCTATCAAATGTGATGCTGAAAGTACAACTGAAGATGATAACAGAGACCAAGGCGAAGATCTAAAATCGGCGGCATCCTTATTATTGGATCTAGACACAGAACAACGTCTTAAACTCTTAAAAAAACTTGACGGCCCTCTTACTAAATTACATACAACCGACTTTAAAACCGCTTCGTCATTTTTAAAGACAAACAGATACGCCGAAGCTAAACAAGTCATCAAAACAGAAATGATTAACTTTTTAATAAAAGAATCAAAGGTTACAATTGTTTAAAAGTTATTTTGAACACTTAGGAAAAAATTATTTGTTTTTCTAATATATATATATATATATTTATATATATATATATATATATATATATATATATATATATATATATATATATATATATATATATATATATATATATATATATATATATATATATATATATATATGTATATATATATATATATATTAGATATATATAAAAAAAAAAAAAATGAGTAGCTTTCTTGACTGTAGTGGCCCCCTCGGGCCTTGGGGAGGTGAATAATAATTAAATATATATATATATTATATATATATATATATATATATATATATAAAATTTTATAATGCTATAGTTATATATTTTTTTATATTTAATTAAGTTATTTTACCCAAAAATTTGTGAAAAAGTTAGGCTTGTAATATAAAGCACTGAAAAACGAGTCGAAAAACCGGGTTAAACTTAAAAATGTAATTCAACCTTATAAGGGGGGCTTTACTTACTTAAGTTTAATTACTTAAGTTATGTTTTTAAAATGAGTAACTGTTACTTAAAAAAGTAGTTTATTTTTACAAGTAAAAGTATTTTGCATTTTTACTATTACTTATAAATGTAACTTACATTTAATGATAAGTCAGAGGTAAGAGGAGTTCAAGCTCCCCAAAGAATCGTCCCTGATTAAAGCACTTCAAAACTACAAGGTCATTGAGTCTTAAGAAGTTATTTTAATTAAAAATTGTTTCAACTCTCCAGCTTAACTAATTGACAACGACTTGCGCATCAAGCTAATTTATTTTTAAGGTTTTAAAATATTTTTTGCAATGAAAATTGCTCCATTAACACACTTTGAATATGCAGAATATTTAAACTATTTTTGTATTTTTTTGATTTAAGAAAGCCTTCAGACCACTGAGCAGTTTGTTACATAATATATCAGTTGCAACATTGATTTGTAAATATAAAACATATATATATATAAAATTTTATTTTACATTCTTGTATTAATCCAACTATGCGTGTTATTGCAACGGTATCTATAGTATTCATCAAGTTTATTAATACATATCGCGCTGAAAAACTTTGCAATAGTACAATTGCTTTTTGATTAAAGATCATAGATAAAGATAACAGATAAGATCATAACTGAGCGTCTCACCCAAAAACTTATTAAACGTGTGCGTAAATTTATTAGATATTTGGTTAAAAATTGTGTTGCCCTGTCCCCAACCCCCTTCCCATCCCAATCTCACGCTTTCCTTGCAAATTATAAGAGCCACTAGTTTACATTATTGCGACAGCACAAACTTATATTTTTGTATTAGAGGAAGAAAAACTGAAGAGTATTATTATTGAAGATGTTTTAAAGCATTGAAAAAGTTTATATAGACCTCCTGAAACATTTTAACATTTACATCCGAACTAAAATAAACGGTTTAATGAGGTATTTTATTTGCAAATTTCAAAGTTAATTTCTTAAAAACAAAAAATAAAAACAAGGAGTAATTTAATTGACATAGTTGTTACACTGATAACATATCTCCTTGTAATCTTATAACAACTAGCTTTAATGACAATGATAACGAGACCAGACATAATATATTTTTCGAAAACAAACAATTTTTCCGAAGACAAATAAATGTAGAAGTTATAGAATAAACAACCACGAAAAGCAACGCATATTACTAAGAGTGGTAAAAAAATAAAACCATCTTAGGTTATACTTAGAAAACAAAAAATCCATGAGCAAATGACAAAGTTTGAAAATATCAAAAAATTATTTACGAAAGTCATTTTTTCTTTATTAAATTTTTGCGTTACAATTTTGTTGAAGCATTATAATTTAAAATATCTAAAAAAGAAAACAAACGCTTTTAATCAAATAAATTTTTTTGGAAAATACAAAGCAAGTTTTTTCCTCTAAAATTTTTTAATGAATTTTGAAAAGTTTTATACCACATTGCAAATTTATCTGCCGCATTGCAACTAAATGGAGCTTTGCGTGGCTTGTAAGCCACTGGATTTTGTAAGCCACTGGATCCATTTTCAGATCAAGATTTATATTCTCATAAAGCCTGTCTTGTTAATGCGAAAAGTTAACATTTGTTTACGGAGTTGATAAAAGAGGTGAAATTTTGGATGTTTTGGAACCAATACTACCTTAGAATTGACTAGTTATGTAACAGGGCAGAATCTAGTATTTTTTGGTCCTTGAGATGGCCAACTTCCAGATATGGAGCAAACTCAAAGTATTTTATGTTTATACTTATGTCAAATAAGGACGATTTGGAAAAAATTGCGATAATTGGAGCCAGGAAACAAAATAGCTCCAAAATTCTCTCCCCCTGCCCCAATTGTGAAAGCAACAAGTTGATAAAATAGTTTTTGTACTATTCTCAATCAGACTTATATTCATTAATAAATATTAAGTTTTATAGTATAATATTTCAGCGTTCAAATATGATCATATAAAGTTTGAACCTCCCTAAATTGGAGGAAGCTACGCATTTTATCAAGTTCATTTTTGAACGCTAAGAGATTATACTATGAAACTTAAAATTTATTGATGAATATAAGTCTGATTAAGAATAGCACAAAAATGTTTTATTAACTTAATGCTCTTACGTATGGGGCAGAAGGCGAAAATTTGGGACTTTTTTTATCTCAGGCTCCAAATACCACAATATTTTTGCAAAGCACCCTTATTTGACATAAGTGTTAACATACAAACGTTCAAAAATATTGCAAGCATGATTTAAATGTAGATAAAAATGTGGAAAATAGATAAAAGTATATTCATTGTTATCCGCCCCTATTGTGTAGTGGTAAAAAATCGTTAATTGTCACGAACTTTTTGTTCGGTTTCTAACGGTAATTTGCATACACATTTGTCATTTCGGTAAGTTTCTTTTTTATACGTCGTTTAGATACAACAAGAAATTTTAATTTGTCCTAAAGGCTGTTCTACTTCTTAAAAATTTTTCTTTAACTCATGTGTACTTTGTTTAAATTATTGAGCAACACCAAAAAATGGCCAAGAATGACTCTTTTTAAAGGTATTCTACATAGTTTGCTCAAAATGCTTGGTGACAGCGGTCTTTCGAAGTCTCTTCTGAGAGCCTCATTTACATTGTGCTACCATTAGCTATTACATCTATCGATAATATCTTTTAGTAACTTCCGCATCATGATAGTTACAATTTAAAAAGGAATAACACACCAAAACAAAATAATTTATTAGTGTAATTACTAACAACATCAATATCAATTACTAACATCAGTTTGCTTGTCTTTTACTCAAGTATAAGGTTGAAATTAAATTTAGGTCAAAATTTAATTTGTTAATAAAAGTTCATTGAAAGGATCTACAGACTAAATTTTGTTTTAAAAAGGTCGCTAAATATTACCTTAATGTCACTAAATATAACCTTAATTTTACCTAATTGTTCAAAAGCTTAAACAAATTGATTATAAACGTAGAAAACTTTATAAGTTTGCTTTGAGTCAAGAGCGTTCAAAAATAAGACCATTTAATCTTGTTAGAACAAATTATTTCACTAATTATTATAAAAATTGTGATGACATAGTTAACACAAAGTAATCTTTCGACTACTTAAAAAAAAAGCTTATGTAAAAAGCTTGTACAAAACCGAGCTAACTATCAAAGGTACAAAATAGTTTTACAACATATGCTTTCTGGAAAAGTGTATTAGTCTTCGTCTGTAAAATCGGTTAATCGTTTTATACCAGGTTTTTTATTATTTCTGTCAAATTTTATAATTTCAAATCAAATGTTACTTACTGAAATTATATACTGGAATTGGTTTTGAAAATTAAAGAAAACATAACAAGTCTAAGAAAAAAAAGTTTAACAAAATCATTTTTTTGTTACAATAAGAAGAAAAGAAATCACAGTTTAAAATGCGATGCAATAATAAAGTTATAATATTATGATAATAATATTACATATATATTATAATATTTTACGCTTCGCGTAGTTTGAAAAGTTTAACACATTTGAAAAAATTCTTCTTAGTAAGATGAACAAATGAAATAATTAAATCATTGAGTTACTGTAGAAATTCAATTAGCTAGATAGAAATTAACTAAAAACGTTTAATTACTTTGTGATGAGGAAGCGGAACTGCTTCACAATAACGCTGATGATGTTTAGTGAATGGGCTTTATAATTTAAATTAGTGTTTAAAACAGAAAAAAGTAACTTTAAGTTTAGATTTAACGAGTTTGTAAGAATGGCTGAAGCAAAAATAATTGAAGTTATAAACCAATTTCTAAGAACTTAAAAACTTTGGGGAAAGAACCAGTAATCGGGTACACTGAGAAAAATGGATTAGTGGTTAAAATTATTTGTATTAACTTTGATGATTATTAATAATTTCATTGAAAACACTTGTTATTGAAAGTATTTTTGTTTACAAAATCAATCGCACATATTGCTTTAAAAGATTACATTTGAATAAAATACACATACATAAAATTACATGCATAAAAAATACATACATAATTACATTACATAAAATACATTAAACAATTACATAACATTACATTACAAAACATACATACACAACATAATTACATTACATAAAATACATTACATACATAAAATACATTCATTACATACATAAAAAATACATCCCTTCAGTGCTGGATTAAGAGGGGGCTAGGGGGCAAAAAAGCCGATAACTGATTCTTTCTTGGCGGAAAGAATCAGTTATCGGGTACACTGAGAAAAATAGATTAGTGGTTAAAATTATTTGTATTAACTTTGATGATTATTAATAACTTCATTGAAAACACTTATTATTGAAAGTATTTTTGTTTACAAAATCAATCGCACATATTGCTTTAAAAGATTACATTTGAATAAAATACACATACATAAAATTACATACATAAAAAATACATACATAAAAATACATTACATACATAAAAAATACATCCCTTCAGTGCTGGATTAAGAGGGGGCGAGGGGGCTATGGACCCGGGCCCCGCAAATTTAGGGGCCCC